TCTCTTTCTGATTTTTTTCAATCAATTGGATTGATCACGCTTTCGTTGAAAATTCCATGTTGAAATTGTTTATTGAAGATTAATGTTTTCCAATTTGAAGTTAATTTATTGAGACGTTCAATGTCAAATTTTTTTGTCTGACGTGGAAGATATTAAAAACGCATTAGATTTATTAATTATATTCGTAGATTGTGAGTATATTGAACGAGAGATTTGGATTGCGTATGTATGTCGATATAAAAAAGGGATAATCAGGTTTTTTCTGACGAATATCTAAGTTAAGCGACAATATCTAAGTTATCGAGACACTTGAATATATTAGGTTTTATTTTAAATTATCCTTTGGACAAAAAAAGGATATTCTATAGGCAATGAAGCGAAAAATCAAGCGTAAATTTATATAGTTTCGAATCAATTTTAAAATGAATATAAATGTCTTTCAGGTATTTTCATCAGATTGCTAATAAATTAGAGTATTTAATTCATAATGATTTATTTATGACCAAGTTTATCGTCTTGTTAATATAGTTATAAAACAGATGTATCGGAGAAAGTTTTTTACAATTTTCATTAATTGGATTTAATCACATTCGGATTTTAATTAATTCATTACGATACATAAAGTATTAAAAATAATATTTAATTTCTAAAATAATTTTCCACTATTCGTTCCAAACTATAACATACTTATTACGAAACTACTACTATGGAATAGCTAAAATTAAAAATACGATTTAAAAAAAATTCGCGATCAATTTCCTATCATTATAAAGTTATTAAAATATCATTTATCATAAAAATGGCATTCTTTAAATCTTTCACATTCCTAAATTTCATTCATTTTAATTTTAATCTTATATTGAGAAACCTTAATTCACACATCACGCTTCTCAATACAAGTTTATCTTTTGTATTAATTTTTTTTCTCATACATAACCTTTCACATACAATAGGAAATCTGCCCAACACCCTATGTGTAATACAAATCTATATTTTTCATTAAACGCGATTCACGAAATTTTCGTGTTCAAAAATTTTCGTGTTTAAAAATTTGTTACAAATTCCATCCATAACCAGATCCACTATCAAAAAGATCAGTTCGAAAATAACCTGTCGAAAATAACCTTCGATTTTCTCCGCGCCATCTTGCGAAACAACCACTTTATCACGCATGCGCATCGACTCGGTTGCATTTCGCCTGGAGAACGTTTCGCGCAGGGTTTATGAACGCGAGGAAAGGATAGCCGCATTTTATCACGGGTCGACTGGAAATTAATCGGCGCACGCCCAAGAGAACATGATGAATACCGTATCGTTCGAAAGTCCCGTAACGAGGTACCTCCCTGTCTCAAGGACGAGCTGTGTGCCAACAACGTCTCGAATATTCCTTCGTTCGTTGGATCGCGATCAATCGAGTCATCGATATCGATGTTATCTCCATTACCGACACGCAATACGATCCTGCTCGAAGAGGTTTCACGAGAACCGAGCTCCAATGTTTCACCAGTTCTATTATTTTCTATACTAGATCAGAAATTTTTGCAGATTCACGATTGAACGAGCATGACTTTGGTTCGTTTTGCGCCCCGATAATCTCGCGGTTTGAACGTCGTTTCTGAACCTTGACTTTAAAAAAAAAAAGTGAGAACGATGAGATTCGATCGGCGCGGAGAAATGTTTCGTGTTGTTGATCTCGTCGAACTTCACTCCGTTTTGCTGTAATTTGCACGCGAAAGTGAAATTGAGCAAAGGACGTGGAAATTGAAATTCGATCGAAAGTGTGAACGAAGAATGAGAAACTCTTGAAATATTGTATCAAATATTTTTCAGAAGTTATATTAGAAGATTATCAAATTTATTCGTTCGAAGCAACGAGAATAACTATAAAATTAATTGTATTAACGTAACGTATAGAAATTGAGAATTATCATTATTACTTGAAGCATATTGTCTTTTCGTCGTCAACGATGTAGTTAATAATTTAGAATGATACGAAATTAGATGTAATAACTGATGTTAAAGCTAACAAAGGAACTGTAATTCGAAAACCGTAACCTTCCTGGTATGCATAAATATCAAAGGCAATAATTAAACCGGCATCGCTTTCTATAAACTCCACGAAGGCGTGTAACGCGTTTTTATGCAAGAATTCTCTCTTATGTCGGTTCTACACCGGTTCTATATACCGCAACATGCCAAAACAAGGCATCGCGTAATTTTATACGTTTCTACGTAATGGAAACTTGATAAAGCGCGTAGATATCAAGAAAAATCGTGTTAATACTTAATAAAACACGAACGCCTATATAAAATATACAAAACAATTTTTCGATTTTTTTTCTTAACGAACATCGTTCCAAATTTGAAGAAAATCCAAATATGCTTGAATTAAAGCTTGAAAAAAGTGACAAACTTTTTACACAAATAAAACTTTTCGAGGAGAAATTAATAAGGAAAGAAACGTGTAATCGGAATAAAAATGGTAAAACGAGAAGTTGGAAAAGATGTTGAATTTCATACTATATAATTAAAAGAAATTCCAGTTAACTCGTTGAGTCTATATAACCATTGAAAGTGATAGTTGAAATGACAACGCTTCCTGTAAGGCGATAAACGCGGTTTCAACGAAGGAATTAGGTTCGAACAAACAGAGTGTAATTATCATAACAAGCAAACATAATAACGTAATCAAGAGCTAACTTATAAAATATATAAAATAATCCCTCATAAAATCCTTAAAATTCCAAAACTATTCACATTTCATCTCGTTTCATCGACCAACAGCTCGAAACAAGATATCATCGATCATCGTCAAAATGATCGTTTCACAAGCTTGGCATCGAATCAACAGATCCAGAATCGATCAATGAAAAGTAATAACCGATTCCATCCATCATCGCGTGTCCATAGATTACAAAATCCTGTTCCAAATTCGTCCGAGAGGGAACGATCTGATCTTCACGTATACACACACGGCGTGAACGAAAAGTGACAGTGGCGTTTCGTACGTTTTCTGCGGGTCGTCGCGAGGCGTGGTGCGCCCCTGTCTTTTGTGCGAGCATTTGCTCTCGGTTCAAGGAGATCCAGAAACAGAGGCGAGTTGCGACGCTCTGAATCTGAATCTCTCACGGTAACCACGCCGCCATAATTCTGCCTCGCCCCGTATTCGGGTCAACCGAGTAGTAGAAATTACGTAACCACGTGTGCGGTTCCCACCGACGACGCGGGCTCTTTCTTACCGGAAGTGTATCGGATGCCGGAGTCTCGAGAGGACGTGCGCGCGGTCATTTGACGGGAAATCATCCTCGTAAGTGAGAGGGGAGAGAGGGGAGGGGAAATTATCGATGACGAATCGGTGAAAAGTATCACAAGGAGAACCTCGTATACGTGTCGATGTGGAGGAGATGGAAATGAGAATGCAGAAACGTGACGGGAAGAGAGTCGAGATTATTTAGTTTCTCTTCGGGGCATTATCGAGCTGATATCCTGAAATAGGTAGGTTTGCTCGTTTCGTCACCGCGTTTCAACCAGTATTTCGAGCCAATGTTTTGTGGAGTAGAAATCGTTCGATGGAATGTTTCAAGGACTGTTTTATTATTTCTTTGACGTGATCGAGAGGGTTTTTATCCCTTCGAATCCTATTCACCTTCTATATACCGAATATACGTTGTATAATGCTCGTGATGCATGATTGTACGCATTTTGTTCGTTTCTCTTAAAGCAATATCGTCGATTATTTTGCTTTTTAAAAGGAAAACTATTTTATTTGTTATCCGATGTTAATATGATTGTGTCGTTGGTTTGTATATTTGCGAATCAATTGTCCTATCTCATCTCTACTTCAACCTGTCCCGAACATGTTTTACAATTCGTTTCCTCGAATTTCTGTATTGCGAAAACAGATGTCGTACAATAAATCAAAACTTTCCACATTTTACAGAAACGTGATTTCTCACGAGTAGAAATTCTTCGGAATCTAACATTTCCTACAATCGACCCAAATCTGCCATTTGCCGGTTTCTATATCATTATGGAACACGCTGTTTCCTCATAAATCCGTGTTACAAAGAAAGATTGACCTTAATACACTCGTGTACGCGTAAATGAATCATTACGTTTTGACTAAAAAATTCAATATCATCTTCCTACAAATTGTTCGAAATAAAACCAACTTAACCTCAATTTGACGTATGAAATTTCAATTATCCCTTCGAACGTTTCTTCCTCTTCTTCGCATAATGAAACAACATTTCCAAAACGTATGATCTCGTAACATCGGATCAACCATTCTATAACGTTATAGCATCGTTAATAATACTTTTCTCCCTTGCTCGTTTCGAGCACGCTTTAGCGAGTTAGTCCGAGCGAGCGATAAGGAATTTTATGCGCATACCATTCGCGCGTATTCGAGTTCACCGATCCGCGAAACTCGCTCTCTCCATCTTCTGCTTCCTATTCACTATAAATCCCGTAGCCCCGCCATGCAGATCCGGTTTCGTGGCTGGAAACTAGAATAACAAACTCGTTTCGGTTTGTCCACATTCTAATTCAGCAATTTTGATTCGCGTGACGTTGATGAAAATCGTTCCCCTCTCGCCATTAGATCCTTCTCTGCTCGCGTGTCTGACATATAACGACCCCTTTCTACTCTTATACTACTTAAAAACGTTATTTCGTGCGCGTGTCTGCTCAAGTAATTACTATCAATTATATTAACAGATTTGTAACGTGTTATTAATGAGAATTTGCTATTACGTACGTTGTTTTAATTATCGAGTATTCCGTGTATATTATGCGTTTTGTGAGAATGTGAAACGATAAAATGGAGAGTAGTAAAAGTAAAAGTAAAATTTTTACGACATTAGAATGCTACGAATGGAAAACATATGGAATATGGAATATCGTTTAAAGATGAAAGGAAAAATTGTAAATCTTGGAACGATACGAAGAAGAAGTAAGAGTAAGAATCATCGTGACTAATAATCGGTTTCAATTTGCAGGTAATCCCATTATGCCTGTTACTAATAACAGAAGCGAAACGAGCGGATCTCCGGCCTCGTATCACGGAACCGCAAGTTTATTACGAAGAAGACGACAGCCAGGCAGCCGAGGACGATTACAGCCCAGCGGTCTACCAACCGCGTACACGTGCCCTTCCTTCGCCACGTTCGAAGGACGCTCTGCACTCATCGAAGCCTCCGCCAGTCCAGACTATTCGCAATTACAACAAGGTGAACGACGACGGATCTTTCACTTTCGGCTACGAGGCAGCGGACGGCTCGTTCAAGGAGGAAACTCGTGGAACCGATTGCGTGGTGCGCGGTAAATACGGCTACATCGACCCTGACGGCAACAAAAGGGAGTTCACGTACGTGTCCGGAAATCCGTGCGACCCGAATGCGCCCAAGGAAGACGAGGACGACCTCGCCGACAAGCAAGAGGAGGACGACATCTCTGGCCCGGCCAATTATCCTTCCGTGAGGCCGATACCGAGACCGGCGGCCAGACCTGCTTATCAACACCCCACCACGCCCAGACCACCCACCACCATATTCCAAACGCAGTACCAGTTGGACGACGACGCCAGTCAAGAGTTGGGCGACGAGGACTTCGTGAAACCGTCAACCCAATTGAGAGGGAGCGGTTACAGAACGGCCCAACAGCCAACGGCCTACGTCCCGGTCACGCCGTCCACGGCTCTCTACGAGCCATCGCCCACCGCCAACCCTGCCGCCCTCTACAGACTAGCCTCCTCCACCACGCAATACCAGAGCACAGCCTCGCCCGTTCTCCGCGGCCAACCCAGCNGCGTCCATCCCGGCCGCAGACCCCATCTACCAGTCGGAGCTCGTGTACGATCCCGCAACCGGTCAGTACAACACCCAACTATATCAATCGCTACCCCAAACCGTGGGCGACTTCACCCTAAGTCACAAACTCCAACCGTTCGTAGCCCAGCCCCAGTCCTATCTCGGCCTCCAGCAGTTGCAGCAGATCCAGCCCCAACAGCCCCAACGCCAGTCCCCGCTTTATAAGCAACCGGCCGCCCCCCAGCCATCCGCCACCGTCAACCAACCCCAGGAAGTGCTGTACAGGAAGCAACAGGCCCAACTGTTGCAACAGTCGCAGCAGCTCTACGCCCAACAGCAGAGACGGCAACAGCAACAACAATCGACACCGTCGCACAGGCTTCAGCTGCTCGAGTCCCAGACGCAACCGCAGTCCTTTTACTACGTGGCGCCTGCGAGGTCCTCCAACTCGGCCAGCGCGCCACTTTCCGTAGGTCAGATAGATCACTATCTTCGAGCCACAGCCGGTCGTTATTGATATTTTCATTAGCTTACGAGTCTTCCTTTTTTTTTTATTTCTTTCGAATTTATATATATATATATGTAGGGTACCTCTTTGAAAAAAAATTTTTTTTTTTGTACTATTCGATTACCGGTTTCGGACCACCCGAACGCGGCACTTTAACAACGAGATGGTGCTGTCAGTGGGCCTGGCGCGTACGTATCCGGGATGTTTTAATAATTGATCGCGCTGAATTCGTTTCGTTCGAGATTATCGAGGAGTTATTTCTCTTTTTTTTTTTTGTCACGATTAAATTAATTGGATTTGATATTGAGAATAGGATATTCTATTTGAATACGCGTTGAATCGTGTTATCTTTTTTCTTTTATTTTAATCTCGACGGTTTGCCAACTTAACTTTTTTTCCTAAGATACGCTTTGTTAATGAATATTTAACCCAGTTGTAATTAATATTTACTGTCATATTTACTTATCAAGTAACATATGATGCGAATCTAATGAAAATCTAATGAAAACATTATTTATTTATTTCTAACACATCGTACGTGTTTTTATTTTAGAATGATATGCTTCTCGCATCAACGACATCAACGTTCCATGGACATTTGCATAAATACGACGATTACGATTTTTATTAAAATAGATTCGATGCTAACACACTGTGATAGAACTGACTTTCGAAATCGTTATTTAACTTTCTAAAAGTTTATAAAATTTCATACGAATGTAACAATTTCGCTTGCAAACAAATCTAAAACGATAAAAATACGATTTTCCAATTCTGATTTCTCAAAACTAGTTCATTTCGTAACGAAACTCGAAGAGACGACGACTAAAATTAATAATGACATCGTTGATAATGTTATCTAACATCGTAATTAATGAACCAATTTTCAGCTTCGAAATTACATTCTTTTTCTTTCTTTTTTTTCTTTTCATAAACGTTTCGAGAACGACTATCATTAGAGAGTGAAAGTCAATGACCTGACGCAATATATACTCACGCACACGAAACGCATTACCATAGTAATTTCTCGTCGCGTCTATTCATATTGTAACATTGCAGATTCCGAACGCCACGACCAGAATTATTCATCGTGTGCTCACGATCGTTTCGAATAGAATCCCGACCTACGTGCTCATTCGATTACAAAATGCGAATCCGTAGGATTGAACCGGATAAATGTTTACCGTTTAAACAACGACGCCACGTTTAATCGCACCGACACACAGCGTTTCCCAGGGAAATGATTCATAGGAAATACGTAAGAAATTGACGAGGGAATTAATTACAAAATCGACCGCCACTCGAAACTTTGCATTTGATTTATGACCTATTTATCCCAATTGATCAATGATAGATTGACGATTTTTGAACAAATTGGAAAAATTAAATTTTCATTCGAATAAGTAGATTCAATCTTAATCGAACTTCAATTAAATACACAGAATTCTAATATACGTGCAATAAATTCATTCCTTTGCACAATTAAAGCTAGTAATATGAAGTAGAATATGAAGAATCGTGTAAGTGGATAAACTGGTTCATGTGTAACAGAAATCAACTTGACTCTTTTTTCATTGAACAGAAGTTGGCGTAATCTCCGAATAAAATATCTCTATCTAGAGAAATACCTAAATTAACATCATATCGCTTAAACTTGTCCACCGAACCACTTGAACCTCTACATAACAGAGATTGCAGAGACACGTGCAGAGTATCCACGCAACTCGATATTACGTAGAAGAAGAAAGAACCAGAACCGCTTCATCCGCGTTTCTACGATAAATAAAATTCCAAATTCACCGACTTTCACCCTGTCCATCATATACAATATTTCCGTGAGTAAAGTCGCGTTTACCGACTCCGCACGATTCGAAACCAATCGTCGATCAATATAACAATTGAACCAAGGGTTCAAGATCGTTTGGCAAAGTTCGGTTTAAAATTTTCGGTTCCAATCGAGAGAGGTTAAATTCTACGAGGATAAATGTAGCATTACTTTCATTGGCGTGGTCCGCAGAACGCATTCGCCCGCTCGAACAGGGCGAACAAAACACTTTCTATTTTGCATTCCCTGTCGCAAGTGTGAGAATCGATTCGAATCTGAATCCTACGACTCGATTCCGTGGAAAGCTATGCGATCGCGTATCACGTGGAAACACGTGGATATCGAGAGGCGTGGATCGATATGAATCACGTGCAAAATGTTTCACACGCATCGACTCGTATCGATGGTATATATATATATATATCGGGATTGTCGCGAGATTTTTGAGAAATATTTTCCCCGATACGCGACGCCAGGCCGACGATCGTCAACTTCGATTTATATATTTATCGTGTATCTATTTATTAGTTGTAAGCTCTTTTGAACGAAGAGTGAGTAAAAGCGGAACGTTATTCCGTTTAATCGAGACGAGGGCGTTAGGATACAAGGGACATGGGCGTCTCGAGAAAATGAACGCGGATCTAGCGCAATTAAGTAAAATTATGTTGTACGGTAAAACTCTGTTTATGCGAAATAATTGGAAGATCAGGATTTCAGGTATCTTATTTAAAATTTTGTAATTTTATGCAAAGTTTGATGGGTTTATATTTTTTTAATATTTGAACAAAAAAGGAAATCGATGGATTAAGCTTCGTTTGTTGGATTCTTCGTTAAAAATTCTGGATTTTTTAAATAAGAATATAAAGCTCAAGTTAACTTGTTTAAATTAAATTTCCTTCGCATAAATGAAGTTTTGCTGTATTTGTAATTTTTTCTTGTCGACGGTATCGTGCAGAAGCGTCGACATGCACTTGTCTACTCATATTGTAAATACTTTATCTCGTTAGAATTAAATATATCTAGCGGCTACCTAGTGATTTATACGTTTCAGTACTACGTCGATAAGGAACACGTCTCTCTTATACGTTTATAGTTGTTTTTTTTTTTATATATTATATATATATATATTATTTGTAAACGTGATCGAAGAAAAATGTATTTTAATGAAAAAAAAAAAAAAAAAAAA